TTCCCTAACTGACTACTGAACTGCAAATTTATAAGTTAAAAGTTAAGGACCAGTAACAGTAAAAAATTAAGCTATTTATAATTTATTTAGTTATTAATTATTACTATTACTTATTACTCAGTTCAACCCATATGACATATGTCAATATGTCATGTTTTGGTTTCTGAGCATTTTGACTCTCCTGTGCGACTTCGAAAATATATGTAATTCTGTCAATTTCACAATCATCATACTTCATGACTTAGACTTGTGTTAATTTTAGTATAAGGCATTACCGAAAATCATAGTATGATATCATAGTATAATAAAAATAATAATAATAATAACTATCACTCACTATCTCTCACTTTTACTTTTACTTTTTAATCATAATGTGAATTTTTTTATTGCATAACAAAGCTTATAGCTGGTCAACGGTTTAATTTCCGGTAAGTTATGTAATCCGTCCCATGTAGTATTTTAAAATCAAATTTATTTTTTTAATTATTATTCACTGTAAAAAGTAAAATATCCAATGTCCAATGGTTCACTAGAAATGTTTCGTGTTTCGTTACCAATACACGTTGAAAACGGAAGTGTTAGATGGTTTTACACATTGATAATAAACGAAGTGGGTCCGTTAACGTCAGCTGTACAAAAAAAAATGCCAGTCTCTGTTAACGTTGAGGTGCAATATCGATGTAAATCGAATTATGGTTGTTCAAAATTTTAATACTTTTTTTAAAAGGCCTAAAAATCAAATTTTGTGTAATCCCAAGATCCATTTTCTTAGAAAATTTTTCATAAAATATTAAATCATTAAAATATAATCTTTTCTACATGGTAAACTATTTTGAATTCTGAATAGCATTTATAAAATAACCTAACAATGATTAACAAAACTTGTCAAAATATAAGCTTGAATATTTCAACAGCATGCAATATAAATATTTTGTCACCTAATTAAGTATCAATAAATATTTCGCATGGAATATACCATTGACAAAAACAATCAATTTTTAAAATTTTTTGATATTATTTTTTTTAAAGCATAAATTATGCTTTCTGATAATGGCCCTCTTTATTGGTGCCTACTAAGTCTTGTAACTGAAGCCTTTTGGAATCGTCCAGGCGTAACCATGACCTAAGTAAATGGAAAGTAAACGCTTGTATTAAAGTCATATAGGTCTACATAATATGTCTACATAGGTAATTCACTCAAAAGCTACAATTTCCATTAATGCCTTTTTGATACTGAGTAAATAGACTATATATGCACTGTAATACGAGGAGGTCATAAAAAAGAACTGATTGCAACTAAAGCATAAAACTATATAAAACTATGAAAGCTTAACATTCACATTTTATTTCAACTCACTAACAGAAACTCACCTGGCTCTGTATCCGTTGCTCACTACGACTAAGAACAATTAAGAACCACAACTAACAAACAAATCCCATTGAAGCAGAGGCGTTGCGTGGTGGGGGCAGGGGGGGCAGATGTCCCCGGGCGCCAGCTAGTTGGGGCGCCAAAATGTGCTTTGATATTATTTTATTGATGAAAATAATGGGTTTGAGAGTTGAAAAAAAGAAAAAGGGGCGCTAAAAATGGATCTTGTCCCCGGGCGCGAATCTTGTCCCCGGGCGCCAAACACCCTCGCTACGCCACTGCATTGAAGTCAAGGTAGATAAATCCATAGAGCTAAACCGACTTCATTGGGAGTCTCTAAAACATTAGTTAGTTGCTTTGTTGTTGTTTTTTTTAATGTTTTCTAATTTCTAAACATCTATTGTTTATTGTTTTGTATTGTCTGTTGAAGAAGGCACCTAGCCGAAATGTCCTTTCAATTGTCCTGTCTTTTCATTTTAAGCCTAAAATTTCTTGTTCCACTATCTCATTCACAAAGTTTAACACAGTCCCTCACAAAATGTTATTATCATCAAGGTAAATAAAACCTGTGAACGCAGCCCTTAACCACCCCCCAACAATAAAAAAAAAATCACACACGCAAACCTACACTTGTGGAGGAACTCTCGAACATTTATTAAATAAGTGGTCCATATGCTGCTGTCATGAATATTGAATTTAAATTTCGCGGCCTGTTTAGATCTGGAGATTCATAGTTCTAATATGAAACCTACAATAGTGATGTATATTTAAACTATAATAAACTTTTTTTTGTTTGAAAGTGCAGTTTTAAAAAAGTGTTCTGCCAAGCATTTCATGCTCACCTCCCATCCCGGACCCCACTTCCAATCATTAACAATGTTAATATATTTCCTATATCAGAGTCTAAGCATCTATTACCTTTCCTCTTAATCCTCTAGCCCCCCACCCCCCCCCCCACGAAGTGGAAAATACTGTCATAGAAGGATGCTTAGTAAACACTGATGCGCATGATAGGTTGTCAAGGTTTTTAATATGATATTTATTATAATTAATTAATATAATAATTAAGGGTTCATCCATAAATGACGTCATGCAAATTTTTGCTGATTTTGACCCCACTTCCCCTTTGTCACAAGTCGTCACAAAAAGTTAGACCTTCCCCCCCCCCTCAAATATAACGTCACAAGTCTCTGCAACACCCACCATTTTATAAAAAATCTCTCTATCCACTAGTGTCCATCGCTAACCCTTAGAAAATTCATCTACAATTGATATCAAATACTGCATTGTGTCAGAAACATTTCCATAGAACAGTGGCTCTTAGCAGAAGTGAAAACACCCCCATGTGCCATGGAAGACTCAGAAAATTGTATTTGCTGCCATTGCAAGTTGTTGCTGCCTTTAAACAAATCAGCTTTTGTTCATTTCGATTTGCAGCAGTAAATGTTTTTCTTTTTGTTTTTTTTCCTTGTTAATAGGGAGTTAATTACGGAAATAAAACTACAATAACTAAATTATTTTCATATTTAAAATTTTGTGAGGTTGGGGTACGGAAAAATGTTTAAAACTGAGTGGGACTGCAACGTTGAAAAAATGCTAAGAATCTCTGCCCTAGAGCATTTACTAAGATCAACCCCCCACCCCCCCAGGGTTCAACCATTTTTTCGTTCCATCCCACTTCACGTTGCCACATTTTGACAACTGTCAATGTCACAGCACCCCTATTCACCTCCTCCGTGGTGGCCTGTAACTGTAACTTGATCAGAAGCCATCTTTCGGATCTCGCATACCTGACACTGATTCTCTCGGTGATCGTAGTTTATAAATAAAATAATTATAGTTTTTTTATAAAAGAATAATGTTAAATACGTCTGTACTTTAATTCTATTAAGTGCATTTTTTTTTTACTGAATGTCCCATTTTTCATGTGACGTCACATTTCTTAAATCTCCCCCTCGTCAGACATCGTCACAATTATTCAAAATATTTGAAATTAGAATAATGTTCCCAGTCTCCTTCACAATATTTGAATAATGTCCCCAGTCCCCTAGACGTATAACTTCGTTTATAGATTGGCCCTTAAGATTAACATAAAAAGCATTTTTTTTTCACTTTAAAAAGTTATGTTAAAGTAGGCTCTATCCCTGACATCACTGCGCACGACAGCATTAAATGTATAGTTACAGTAGTACCGGCATTAGTAGATACATCATTTAATTCCTATCAAATCAACCACACACCACCATATTTCAATAATCAATAACCATAATTGACTTAATCGTATCTTGTTTGTGATCCTATCCCAAAGCCCAGCTGCTTGTCATACATGCATACAAATATTTAGGTCAGGGCAGAGGCATAGCGAGGGTGTTTGGCGCCCGGGGACAAGATTCGCGCCCGGGGACAAGATCCATTTTAAAGCGCCGTCTTTTCTTTTTTTCAACTCTCAAACCCATTATTTTTACCAATAATATAATATCAAAGCAAATTTTGGCGCCCCTAAGTAGCTTGCGCCCGGGGAAATCTGTCCCCCCCCCCTGCCCCCACTTCGAATATTATATATATACATATTTCAAAATTTTAAAAAGTCAGTTAGTGGGTAATGCACAACCATAATTGTGTAAATCGTAGCAATCTGACACAGTATCAAAGAATCCATATTAAAATTGCCACTAATGTGTACGAGTGAGGAAAATTGCTAACAGTCAGCTTGGTCACTTGCGCTGTCAGGTCTCTGGCAACAAGCAGAAGGAGGAAGAAAGTGAAGCCGAGCTCTTGAGAACCCTTAAAGCTTTTGTTATCAATGAAGGTTGAGCAGATTGTAACATTTTTACTTTATTGAATCGCTTTTTTGTGTAATACTTGATGCGGCTCAGTCTCACTCAGACTCTGCCTTCTGCGCCCCCCCCCCCCGATGTTTTGGGTTTGAGACCCCTGCTTTAAATGATACAAAGATTATCAGTATCTTGGTGTTTTTGGAAACAGTGTTTCTTTCAGAATTTCCCCCCCCCCTTTGGACATATTTTTTCTCTGGGGGGGGGGACACTTCGCTTTCCCCGGGGGGGGGGGGGCAGTGCCTCCCCGGAGATATAGTATAGCTAAAAGAAACCCTGATTGGAAAGCTTAAAGCCAGCTCTTTCCAATGATATTTGACTGTGTCAGATGTATTTGAAAATTTGAGTTGGAGTACCTACTACTGGCACTGGCTGCACAGCTAGCCAAAATATTACTTGAAGTTATATTATAAATTAGGAAGTTTGTCATGAAACAAACACATTTTCACATCACATAAACGTTATGTGATTTGAAAATGTGTTTTGTTTTAGAAATGGGACATCTAGGCGTCCCGATAGATTAATTATTAATTCGGGACACCAGGTACGATCGTAAAAAAACGGGACTATCCCGTTTTTACGGGACGTTTGGTCACCCTAATTTAGGCGCATATTCATCAAAATTAGTACCGGTACTTTTACAAATGTTCAGAATCTTTAATTTTTATTCCAATTTTAGTATTTTACATAATTGATGACTGTTATAATGTTATTTTTGGTTGTTAAATTTGGTTTGGAATTTACGGTAACTGGTTGTTAGTTGTGATATTTCGGAATCACAAAAATTCGTTTCTATCATTAAATTTAAACGTACCAAAACATTTTGTTACCCAAACATCTATAAATTTGTTAAAAAATAATTTATGCTCCTCAACTGCACTTTTACCGGTTAACAAATGGACAAAACCCAGTGTTTTTTGGCCAAACTAATGATTGATTAAAGTATTAGTTTTAGATCTAGTTATTAGTATTAGTATTAACTAGTATTTTAAATAAAATATTTGCACCCCTGCCTATGCTTATTTAGTTTAGCCTGCCTATAATTATTATAAATAACTATAAAAAATAAGGCATAAGTGCTTTTTATTATAAAACATGAACATTTTTTGGAAATTAATATTAGGCTAATATCTGTTCTGTTATGTTATATATTATATAGTATATGTTATCTATGGGCAAGTATAGTAAGTGTATAATATAATAATATAGTATTAGTATAGGCATAGTATAGGCGATAAAAATGTTATTGTTATTGATCATTGATATTAATATTGGGTCACAATAAGTTAAAGGAAGTTTGGGAAAAGCTGGTGTACAGTTAAGTCTGCTATATGGACCATTTTTATGGAACTGAATTTCTCAAAGTAGCCTAGAGCCTAATATAGCAGGTGTACCCTAAGTCTGGCCCACGGTCCAAATTTAGCCCATGAGTGATTTCAACAGTCATGAAATTTCTAGATTTCATTCATAAGAAGCAATTGTATTTATTTTCTAAGATGAGTCATGTGGAGAACATGGTGATTTGCTTTTGCACAAGAATGTCAGATGGCTAAACAAAGAAACACATTTAGAACAGTTTTGGATAAGTCATGAGGATTGGCCAAAATAACAATTAACTTAAGTATGATTATTTCTCATAACTCTGAACTTGATGAAGGTTGGGTTGGGTAGTTTGTGGAATTTTGCACAAATGTGGACATGATCCTACCGATACCTTTGTTTTTTTGGCAGACATTACTGGCAATCTTAATACGAAGTGGCTATTTGCATCCGGTTACCAGGAGTGAGAGGTTGGGAATAAAAAAAGTATTTAAAATATTATTGTTGGGTTTGTAAGACAAAATGAGGTATCAAATGAAAGACAATTGAATGGACTGTATGTTTGTAAAATTAATTCTTCATTTTAACTAAAATAAACTACCAAAATGACATCCGGATAGCATTGAGTCTATTGGGACCCAGGTGCGAATGGTGGAGATGCGTGTCCGGGTCCATCAAAAAAACTAAAAAATCGCTCAGATCTTATCTAGCTTATCCAAATGGTCAAATACTTGCAGAAGATAATCTTGCATCTTCTTTTTCTCCTCTAGAAGTAGAAGTGCTTGGAAATCATAACTGAAGATGACCTCATCTTATGTTTAAATAGTTTGATACCAATGAATAGAGGAAATATCTGATTGAAAAAAAAAAAGAATGATCTATTTCCCTGAAACTGGAACTTGAATTTTATTGAATTTAGCAACTTTCTGAAATATAAGTAGTATCGTGTGACCTGTCTTTTAATTAAAAAATTTTTTTTTTATCAGCACAGAGCATCAGAAATAGTCAATCATGGAGATATCGGGCTTAAGTTTAATTCACTGCTGTAATGGCCACTAAATCTTTTTAGCAACAAAGTTTTGGAGATGAATGGCCCCAGAGAGTAATAAATCATTTTTCAACATTTTTTTACACCTCATTAAGCAACAAACTAGTCATTGGTTGTTCTCCATCATCTGTACGAGTGTACTATTATTTGGAATATTGGCTTTGGAGAACTCCCTTTTGAGTGTCCCGATGCTCATACAATCCTAGGCTAATTCAAACTGGCCATATCTTGGTTGAGAGGCAGGGAATGTTATCATTGAATCACAAGGACGGACTAACAAAAGTATTGATTGAATTAGATTTTTATGTCACTAAGTACCTGGCAATAGAAACTTGTTTGCAATTACCTGATTATAAAAAATAAAAAAATCCATCTGCGGCTTGAATGCACTTGTCTGCTACTCTTGTTATGTTCTTATTCAAAATTCTCTGCTTGTCATTTACTCAGGGAGAACTGGACCTGTTACCACTGACTGAGCTTGTCATTTACCCAGGGAGAACTGGACCCGCTACCACTGACTGAGCTTGTACAGACAGACAGATGCCATAGCCATGCCCAAGCCTCAAATAGTTTTTGTCTTGGTGGGCATAAGTGTTGTGTTCCTTGTTATGCAGTTTTATGGAATAAAGGTAAATTTGTTAAATTACCGCCACACATTCTCTTGGAACTTTAAACCCCTAACAAATTGCATCTTTTGTACAACAGTATCTCTCTAGAAAACAAATAGATTATTAAAACAGATGATTTGTGTATTTAATTTAAATTCATTGGACTTTCTTGTTTGTTTCCCAGTACCTCTATGAGAATCTCAACTCAAATAAGCCAATTGAAGAGAGAGTCCCTTGGGTAAAATAATATTTTCACAGTTTGTACTTTAAATAAGCTAAGATTATTTTCATTGTTGTAAAAGAATGTATCAATTGTTTTGAATAAAATCAATTTAATGCAATCACTTAATACCAGCTTTATAAGTTTTCAAAACAAGATTCCATAGATCAGTGGTTCTCAACCTTCCTAATGTTGTGACCCTTATTAAAGTTGCTCATGTTGTGGCTCCCCCAACCACAAAATTATGCTCGTTACTACTTCATAACTATAGAGTACAGGTGTTTTCAATGGTCTTAGGCGTTCCTGGGAAAGGGCCGTTCGACCCTCAAAGAGGTCGCGACCCACAGGTTGAGAACCGCTGCCATAGATGAATATGAGTTCAAATTACCAGTATGAAAATAATGTAATAGTAATAAAAAATGTTTAAAAGTTAGCTTTTAGTGAAAATTTTCTTTTGAGTTTCAGTAGTTGAAATGCAGTCATTAATGCTACCAGTTTTTTGTGTGTTAAATCTTTAAATTAGCATTTTTCACTTGAGTAACACATTTTGATGACAGGAAGCTGTTAAGCTATTTATCAGCAAATGTGAACATTCTGGCCTACCTGTGTTTGTCATTGAACCAAGTTTGTTGCGTGCTTTGAGGGAAAAAAGTAAAAGAAGATTGGAGCTCTGGAACCATGATCACCATACGTCCGTAGCCTTTGGGGTCATTGAACCAGGAATTGATCACCTGGTTAGTGAAGAGCATTTTTATGGGATATTTATATTCTGATGAGGAACAAACACATCACCTCTCTCATTTAACAGACGTAAATCATGATGAAATGTCACCATTTTTTATTTTTCCAGCAGTTCTAAGTTCCTCACACGTCTTCTCTCCTTATGTCTTCTCTCCATGTCTTCTCTCCTTATGTCTTCTCTCCATGCCTTCTCACCATATGTCTTCTTTCCATGTGTTTTATCTCCTTATGTCTTATCTACTATGTCTTCTCTCCTTATGTCTTTTATTATATTTTTTATCTCTTTAATTGAAATGTAGTCGTGGTCTTTGTGATCTAAAAGCTTTTTTTCCATTTCTTTTAATTCATTCACTTACTTTTTGCAACGTTCAATAAGTTGACAAATAAAAACCTTTCAACTCTTTTACAACTAATTCTGAACCTTTTTTCTGCACCAGCATCTTGTAATGTCAGCCATGAAACATGAATACTATGAATTCTGGGAAAAAAATGACCCAGATCCCAGAGGCCTGACCATTCAGCACAGAACTTACCGTTCAGTACCATCTCACTACGTGCTCTGGGTTCCTGTCCAGGGCCATACGCCTATGCTTATACATCTGGTGGTGTTTTACAAGAGAGGAGAATTCTTCTGGCACTCTGCCGTTCAAGATAAACTACAAAAGCCACCTCACAGCCTTGCAAGGTCACCATTTTCTTCAAACTCTGGTTCCTACAGCCGGTAAACCAACCTTTGGATCTCTCTAATATATTATGTGCTGATACTTGTGGTCAGAAAATGCTTAATAATTATTTAAATTTTGTGTAATATTTATATTAAGTTTCTAAAACTTAAGACATTTGTTTAAATTATTGTCCACCAAAAAATTTATTTGCTGAATAAAATATAAATTTGTCTAAATCTTTTTATTAGCAGCTGAAAATGCTTTTTAATTAGCACGGTCAAATGATGCGTGAGCAACGTGTGATAAAATGTAAGAGCAGCAAACATGTAGCTAAGCAGGTTCTGCTATATCTCAGAACTTTTTTTTTTTTTAAAAATTAATGATAAGCCTTGCATTTTTTTAAAATAAAGTCCTTATTGGTTATGTTCACTTTAAAAAAATGTGTCAGGTGTTTGCAAAATATTGTAGATTAATAGTAAACCTGCATATTTTTTAACAGTTGCAATATTTTATTCGGTTCAACACAACATTGGTTTACCATGTGTTTTAACAGTTGCGATATTTTCTTAGGTTCAACACAACATTTGTTTACTTGGATGGGGCACAGATCTACTATCCAAGTGACACATTCACATTCCTGAAGGAGCTTGAAACATCAGAGTTTATTGAATGCAACTATACCAGGGCCTATCACTACTATGCTGAGTACCATCTAGATAAATCCAAGCCAGTTGAGCTGTTCAAAAGAAAAGCCAGGCAGCTGGTAGTTATCACCAAACAGGTCCTTGACTCTATGGGGGTTCCATTTTGGTTAAGCAGTGGAACTTGTCTTGGTAAACATGGGTTTTTTCTTTTATTTTTTTTTTCGAGCTGGCTTTCTTATAGACCATCGTTTCCATAACTTTTAAAGTTTTGCGGATAAGTTTTGAAATTGCAGCAGGGACTGGAGCCAGATTTATTGATTATTTTCTAATGCAAATAAATATTCATGTTGTTCCGAGCGGCATCGTAAAGCTCGGTCCTCTGACCATCATTTGGGGAACGCTATTTTAGGCAATTTCAGTTTAAGCATGCGGCAACTCCTCTGTTCTACTGGATTGTTTAATTCGTCAAGTTCTTTCACACGTTGAAATCCGTCATACTAATATTGAATAAACTAAGGTCCTTTTCATAATAATTATAACTTAAATATCTAAGTAAATACTACACATAAACAGATGCATATGGCGCAGCTCGTTATCAGACATAAATAATACACATCCTACTTCTACAAAGTTCCATTCACGACTGTGGCACGACGAAAACTTGCATCACAATACAGCCTAGACAATACGTCACAATCAGCAAAAAAATACGTCACAGAGTCAAGCGTGGAAAGAGCATTCACTAACTAAAAAAACTTTCAAACACACCAAGTGTAATGAAACATAATAAATAATATTTAGTCGCAACAATTATTATTGAACTCCCATACTCGAATAGTTATAGTGCTTTATTAATGAGTAAATAGTTATAGTGCTTTATTAATGAGTAAATAGTTATAGTGCTTTATTAATGAGTAAATAGTTATAGTGCTTTATTAATGAGTAAATAGTTATAGTGCTTTATTGATGAGTCAAGCCTGAGAAACTATTCAAATGTAAACAAATTTTAAGCCTATTGAAATTTTATAATAATTTATATTAAGTAATTCTATCAATATCCACAAGTTGTCAACTTCGTTTAAGAAAAAAATCTTGTAAAGGGTAAACTTGACAGAAATGTCCCTATTGTAGTTTACGTGTCCCTATTGTAGTTTACGTGTCCCTATTGTATTAACATGTCCCTATAGTAGTTAAAAGGTTTTTAGAAGAGAAATAGTGTCTAGTTTTTTTAACATAAAAAAAAACTTGATTTATTTGAACAATGATAATTTAATTTAGGTAGGCTGATTTAGGGAACAAGGCATAGACATTTTTTAAATTGACACAATATTTTTCATATATGTATTTGCAATTGAAAGTAAAGTATGTGTGCTTTACATTTATAGCTTTTGCAAACATTTCCCATACCATATTATTGTATCAGTACTGAAAAAGATTATTACAGAAAATAGGTATTTTTAATTTTTATTTGCACACATTAGTAAATAGTTTAAACAACTTGTTTTTTAGGTTGGTTTCGACAATGTGATTTAATACCCCACACAACAGATGTTGACATAGGCATTTTCATTAAAGATTATAGAGAAGAAATGATTAGTCTGTTGGAGAATACCGGTCTGGTACTAACTCATCGTTTTGGCAAGGTTGGTAACCTTTGATCTACTTTATAACTCGATGCAATAATCTTTGACCTTTCATTAAGTCGTTCAACGCTAGAAATTTCCAGGCCCCATCCATCACATCCATTTATCCAGTGCTCAGTGTAAATTGCATTTTAAAGTCTTTAGAAATTTGATTTTTCATTTCTAGCTGTCTCTCTATCTTTTAAATAGTATCATTTAAAACATTTTGATTCTACTGCAAATAAGTGAACTTCTCAGGCATAATTTCCTTCTTAAGATATAAAAAAAAATATTAAAGTGTTAAATAATTGGTGTTTTGTCCACCAGCCCACAATTCTTTCTTTGCTCCCCCTCCCCCAACCAAGATAGTCTATTGAGCAGATAGCCTATTTAGCATGTAGTCTATTGAGCAGATAGTCTATTGAGCCTTTTTAATATCACCTCCTAGTTGAGACCAATCACAGTGGACTTACTTTCCCTCCCTTCCATCCCATTTTGCCTGTAATTAACGTCTCACCTACTTATGTTCTGTCACATTCCTCTTGATGTCCTCTCACCTACTTATGTTCTGTCACATTCCTCTTGCTGTCCTCTTACCTTATGTTCTGTCAGATCCCTCTTGCTGTCCTCTCACCTTATGTTCTGTCACATTCCTCTTGCTGTCCTCTCACCATATGTTCTGTCACATTCCTCTTGATGACCTCTCACCTTATGTTCTGTCACATTTCTCTTGCTGTCCTCTCACCTACTTATGTTCTGTCGCATTCCTCTTGATGTCCTCTCACCTACTTATGTTCTGTCACATTCCTCTTGCTGTCCTCTCACCTACTTATGTTCTATCACATTCCTCTTGCTGTCCTCTCACCTACTTATGTTCTATCACATTCCTCTTGATGTCCTCTCACCTACTTATGTTCTCTCACCTACCTATGTTCTGTCACATTCCTCTTGCTGTCCTCTCACCTACTTATGTTCTGTCACATTCCTCTTGCTGTCCTCTCACCTACCTATGTTCTGTTACATTCCTCTTGCTGTCCTCTCACCTACCTATGTTCTGTCACATTCTTCTTGCTGTCCTCTCACCTACTTATGTTCTGTCACATTCCTCTTGATGTCCTCTCACCTACTTATGTTCTATCACATTCCTCTTGATGTTCTCTCACCTACCTATGTTCTGTCACATTCCTCTTGCTGTCCTCTCACCTACCTATGTTCTGTCACATTCCTCTTGCTGTCCTCTCACCTACCTATGTTCTGTTACATTCCTCTTGCTGTCCTCTCACCTACTTATGTTCTATCACATTCCTCTTGGTGTCTATTCACCTACCCTACTTATGTTCTGCCACATTCCTCTTGCTGTCCTTTCGTATACTACATTTCAGCTAGGTGTTATATTTATTATTTTCTACTGTTGTTTGTATGCTGATGTACGTTGTTTGTTTTGTCTGTCTGGTTTTCCCATACTTTGGCTCATTTCCTTTGATCTGATCTCATTGCAGTCTCTCCCCCTTATTGCTCGTAAGCTCCACTATCTGACTTGACGTGATGCAATCCATTTCTTAAACTTTTTATCAGTTGCCTTCATGTTTGTTTTCATGATCTCACAGGTGACTGATAGTTTTGAATTGTCATTTCTCTACGGGGATATTAAGTTGGACATTTTCTTTTTCTATGTAACTGATAAATATGTCTGGAATGGTGGCACACAGGCAAGCACGGGGAACAAGTACAAGTAAGGACTTTCATGCACATTTTGTACCTGGTGGGGTTCATTTAATTGTTATCAATGACTGTTAAAACTGACTCTAGTTTAGTTTTTAGTAGACAAATATTTAATTACTAATTCAAACAGGGCCAAAAAAAAATTAATAAGTATATTCCTTCACTATAAATAGCTTGATTGATTGGATACTTTCATAGAGCTTGTATCCTCACAGCGCTCTGATGTCCTAAATTTATTTAAAGAAAAAAGTCTTTAAATGTTTCTTAAATAATTTTTTTTATCATTCTCAATTTCTCACAAAGATAAAGGCAAACCTTTTCATAATTTTGGTGCATCCACACTGGCAACACTGGATGATACACCCTAAAATAGATGTTGACTTTAGTACAAAGAAGTTTCCTTAGTGATTGTGTTATCTATAATGTTATCTATGGTGTTATTCAAATTGGTGTTATTCAAATTTAATTAGGGGCAAAAGAATAAAATAGTTATTAGAAATATTTTTTATTTTTACTTTCAGATATATTTTCCCACCATTTAAGCTGTGCTGGACTGAGTTTTTGGAGCTTTGGATTCGCATCCCTTGCCCTCCAGAGCCCTATATTCATGCCAACTATGGACCAAGATGGATGATACCAGATAAAAGCTGGGATTGGAAATACAGTCCCAACAATGTGATTGAGAATGGCCAATGGCCAAAAAAAGAATGGAATGATGTTATACAGTTATACGAGTGATTAAAAGATGAGACCATTAGAAATAATTCCATATAAATATACTTTTTTTTAGAAATAAAAATTTATCCATGTAATTAATATGAAATCATTTTTTGTTCTAGATTTGTTTGAATAACCTGTCTTTGATATATCATATGCTTATAAAATTACATTTACAGTTGTTTTGGAATAAAAAATTTAAGTGGTTGAAGGTTGACTTTCCAGAAGCTATTTCTTCATATACAATAATTTTATTTGATACAGTTGTTATGTTAGCTGATGCTCACCTTGAGAGTTTACTAATTTTTCTCTCCTGGCCAGTTTCTGCATTTAATTTTCATGTTATTAAAACTCTTGTTGCCATCTTCTATCCTCCTTGTTACCGCATGATATTAAACTGTTGCATGCTGATCAATGCATGAATGATTTTGTAAAAAAGAAAAAGATGTGTAATCTATTTTACAATTTTCAATAATAAATGCCTCAGTGCCAGCGTCCAATGAGAAGTGAGACAGAACAACTCATGGATTTTGAACAGAACATACTCTCATTCAGTGGGCTATGGAAGTGTTGTGTGTCAAACTCATTCAGTAAGCTATGGAAGTGTTGTGTGTCAAACTCATTCAGTGGGCTATGGAAGTGTTGTGTGTCAAACTCATTCAGTAAGCTATGGAAGTGTTGTGTGTCAAACTCATTCAGTAAGCTATGGAAGTGTTGTGTGTCAAACTCATTCAGTGGGCTATGGAAGTGTTGTGTGTCAAACTCATTCAGTAAGCTATGGAAGTGTTGTGTGTCAAACTCATTCAGTGGGCTATGGAAGTGTTGTGTGTCAAACTCATTCAGTGGGCTATGGAAGTGTTGTGTGTCAAACTCATTCAGTGGGCTATGGAAGTGTTGTGTGTCAAACTCATTCAGTAAGCTATGGAAGTGTTGTGTATCAAACTCATTCAGTAAGCTATGGAAGTGTTGTGTGTCAAACTCATTCAGTAAGCTATGGAAGTGTTGTGTATCAAACTCATTCAGTGGGCTATGGAAGTGTTGTGTGTCAAACTCATTCAGTAAGCTATGGAAGTGTTGTGTATCAAACTCATTCAGTGGGCTATGGAAGTGTTGTGTGTCAAACTCATTCAGTAAGCTATGGAAGTGTTGTGTATCAAGTGAAGCGCATTAGATTACAACCAAGTCATTGTGTAACTCTGCTTTAGGGATTAAAAGAAACTGAAAGAAATTTTAATGAGGTTTATGCATGGGATTCTATTCAGTTTGACAGAGGGCATGGATATGATGCTGTTCAGTTTGACGGAGGCCATGGATATGATGCTGTTCAGTTTGATGGAGGGCATGGATATGATGCTGTTCAGTTTGATGGAGGGCATGGATATGATGCTGTTCAGTTTGATGGAGGGCATGGATATGATGCTGTTCAGTTTGATGGAGGGCATGGATATGATGCTGTTCAGTTTGATGAGAAGCATGTGATTTAGTGTGATGAGAAGCATGTGATTCAGTTTGTTAGAGGCACGTGATTCTATTCATTTGAAGATAGGTTTTCATGTTATGCTGTCCTGTTGTGTTATAGAAAATAATTAATATAATTGCTGTCAGACTCTCTTACAGTTACAGGTTTTATACAATTTATAGAAATGATTTTTTTAAAGAAGATATGTCACTATCCATATTGATTATTTCAAGTAATTAACAGTAACATGTATGAAGATTATTGTTTTTTGGGTGGGATTATATTTGTATTGGCAATATTTTTCAACGTGGGTTTTAACTGAATTCCTCAAAGTGTAATACTTTGCATTAGATGGTAAAAATAAAAAAAAATTAACAAACTTACGGAATTCATTTTAATCTGTGAGATGAAAGTATTAAACTTCCAATGTCAGGGTTTTAATTTTCACCCTAAAAATGCACTTTGATGATCTTCCTTCTTAGCAATTATTTTATGAAGTGCTTTTGATCATTATTGACATTTCTATATGCTTAAATGAAACTGCCTGTATGCATATATAATTAAAACAATACTGTCAATGTAATTGTATGTATTAATTTTGCCAATGCTAGATAGTCTTGTTTGCCTTTATGTGGTTTCCCAGGAAATCTTGTGCATTTCTTTACAAAGAAAAATATTTAAATACTTTTTGGAACTGATCCAATACATTCCATATTTCTGGGTGAGTTGTAATTTTTGTTTACTCATAATGTTACTTATACAATGTTGTTTAGTTCTTTGATGGAACATGTTATTTATTTCAAATGTTGCTTTCTTTGGTAGTAAATTAAGATTGCTTTTTTAGTGCTTTTCTTTTTTTCAATTAGTTTTATTAATACAAATATATGAAAATACATATAAGGAAACAAATATTCAGATACCATCCACTGTACACACAGGGTAAATCTCCTGCGCTGGTTAAAATTGTTGGTGTAATATTTACTAAATACCAAAAGTATGCTTGTAATTTTAATTTTGATATGTCAACTTCAACTGTTTAAATAAAAGGGGATGCTTTACTGTTTAAGTCTTTTTATTAATTTAATGTTTAAAAATACATTTATATGTTTTATAGCATCAAATTTTTGTTGAATTGTAAACATAAATTGGACACCAATTTCTAAATAAAAAATTTACTCTGCAATGTGTTTGACATAGCTACATAAATACATACTATATTTTACTATATATCTGTATCAAATTTAAATGCTTTATTGCATGTTCATAAGTTTATAAATGAAGAGATATTTAGCTGAGAAATACACAAATTTTCATTACTCTAAGCTCACTCTTGTCTTAATATTAAGAATAATTGAAATAACTGAGTTGAAAAGAGTACAAAAAAATAGCCCCACTTTCCCTACTCCTCCTATTTACTCTTCAGCAGATAGAAAAAACATTTCTTCATTAAAAAATCATGCATTAACATTTCTTGAAATGGACGCTCAAGGCTTATGGGGTTTCATGGGGTTTTCCCACTCTTTTTTTTTTTCGTCTTTTCGGATGAGGAAAGAGTTTGGACAGAATTGTATGTCCAATGAGGAAAGAGATGTTTGGACAGAATTGTATGTCCAATGAGGAAAGAGACGTTTTGGACAGAATTGTATGTCCAATGAGGAAAGAAACAGTTTGGACAGAATTGTATGTCCAATGGTAAATATAAATAATAATGTTATTACATTATATCTGTCTTACAAAGCACCCAAACTGATGTTATGTTGCACAGCTAATTCTCCATTAATTCAATTTCCCCAAGTTGCCCTTACCAAAATGAAATAGTGCATCTTGCCTCTTCCAGTCTTGCCTTAACATTTTTAACAACCCACAAAACCATTGTTTTATATACGGACTAGTTATACAGTTTTCTACCTGTCAGCATATATAGTGAATCATTTAGGCCTGCTTGGATTTTTAAAACTGCTTTAATTGACCATGAATACCTAAGACCATGGACATTAGATCCCACGTTAGTCAGGAAAGTTAGAATTTAACATAGAACCATTAACTAGCACATTGTTGAGATAGCAATTTGAACCATGTGGTAGATGTTTCATTTATAGAATTAATGTGGGGTCATTGTTTTTTAAAAGAAGAATATTTAAAATAGTGAGAAAAAAAATCAAAGTTTTATCTTCATTGATGATTATTGAGGGATCCTTATAATGAACAATATTCACATAAGCAATTCATAATAAATTTTGTACTTAAACATATGGAGATCTGGGATGTGAAGGATTGATATTTGAGGGTCGTGAGTAAAACCTACTAGGTATATTCTTATACGTTGAAATTAATTTCTGTTTTTTTTTAATGAAATCATTATTTTTGCACATTTTATAACTGGATGATTTAAATTGTAGATTATTTTCTTGGTATTTTCTCAAAGCTTTTGTATTAATTAGGAGGCCCTATTATTTTGTCCCTTAATGAATTTATGGTTAATTGTTATGGGGAAAAAATTTATGGCAGGAATTTGCTATTAAACGATAAATACATGATCTTGTGATGGATTGTGCATTCATTTACTTACTCCTGATAGTGTTGGACTATTTTGTGCCACAAAATTACTGAACAACACACTTTTCATAAGGAAATGTTTAAAGCTCACTGATAAGAAACTTTAAACAAGACAGTTGATATGACTGAATTTTAAAGAAGAAAAAAAATGTAATGTAATATTATTCAACTGAAAAATTAGTAATGGGGAGTCAAAATCCTGGTAATACAAAAAGGACCAAAAGCTAATTTATTTTCTGAAAAGATATACTTTTAGGTTAGAAATTGAACAAATATATTATGGTGTTTTTTCATACTGTCTTCACCATCAGGGTTTCTTTCAGCTAGATCAGCAAAAATATGTCCAACAATAAATCAGCTTTCACCATTATTATCGAAAAGGAATAGAAATGCAGTGAAATCTGGTATCCACATTAAAAAAATATGCTGAAATAAAATACAGAGCAATGTCCCCAGGCAGGCAAGGAAAAAATGGAATCCCAACGTAACATTTAATAAATCAATGAAACAAATAGTTAAAAAAATAGGCAACTTTTATTAATGAAAATAAATGTACATTGACTCTTACTCAAAGCGTAATACATCATGCACAAAATGATTAATTCCCAAAAGGGCACATAGATCATTGTCATGAATAAAACAAATGGAATCGTAATAAACAGCTATATAAAGCAGTGGGGAAGAGCAACACATTGTTTACATTCTTAAATGGGGAAACTTATTTCATGACAAAATATTAGTTTTATTTACTTTAAATAAATTATTCCAATTCTTTAAAAACAAATTCCTTTCAGAAAGATTCTGGCTTTGAATTTTTTAAGGAAATTCAGAACACCCAAAAATACAAATGTGATATTTGATAACTGTCACATGCAGTTAACTATTATTCAATCTAAACGTCTTCTGTGCAGATAAAATTATTAGAAATAACAAACTTTCTAATTTTTCTAATTTTGTTTTAGGACTAATAAATTTATTTCTTAAGAGGCTGTACTCAGGGAAAAGTTCACATATTTCTTAGTTGGGATGTGTTTGACTTCCTACGGTAATAATAAATTAATAGATTTGAGGAAATCTAAAAATGTATTATGTAAACCGGGTCGCTATCAACAAATGATGACGCTATCAACAAATGATGACGCTATCAACAAATGATGACGCTATCAACAAATGATGACGCTATCAACAAATGATGACGCTATCAACAAATGATGACGCTATCAACAAATGATGACGCTATCAACAAATGATGACGCTATCAACAAATGATGACGCTATCAACAAATGATGACGCTATCAACAAATGATGACGTGTAATTGTTTTGGGGGGGAAGAGATATTAAATTGGGGCATTCCTTTTTAGATTCAACTATAATGTTGAATAATTGTTATCTCCTTCAGGCTTGGCATATATTAAAAAAAAATCATAATTATTTTGAAACATTCATAAACCAAGGGAAAGTAAAATGTAGGTGATGCTGCAGCAATAAATGAATTTGACAGGACTCCAAAGGCAGATTAAATAGGGTGCTGAGCAGTGTGTAGGTAGAGAGGCAGAAGAAATTATGAGTCAATAATATTCTGACAGTGACAATAGTAAGTGTGAGAAGGGGGAGGAATGGGCTAGTACTAGAATAGACGGAATAGTTGATATAAACTGCTATAATCCGTACACTAGTGATTGGTCAGAGGAGGAAACAGGAGATAGTTATAACATGACAGAATTTGAAACTAAAAAGAATCAGTTAAGACAGAATAGTAAGAAGAAGACTTAGGGAAAAACTAACAGACGATGATAAAGTAGAAACGGGAAAAGCGTTAAGGAAACTGGGAATATTACCGACTTTGGGGAGGAGATAAGCTATCCCGAGGAATTTCATGCTATCATAACTGAGTGTAGGCACATTTTATCCAAAACTTGTATGATTTCATGACCTGACCATAATTATATTGATTCTACTGTACATAGAATCTGGAAAGAGAAGGGGGAGCAATGTCAAGGTCATGGCATCAGAGGTGCAGTGTGTATGGTGATGTTGACAGTTAAGTTTAGTCAACGAGTGTGAACTCTTTTCATGTCACGGTCATGGCATCAGAGGTGCAGTGTGTATGGTGATGTTGACAGTTAAGTTTAGTGAACGAGTGTGAACTCTTTTCATGTCAAGAACAGGTGCGTGGATTTGGGGTTAAAAAGGGGAGAGAATGATTTTGAGCACAGATAGAGAGAACAGTTTTGGGTTAGATTTAATATTTTCTGCTGAATGTAATTAGGTAGCAACTTGATTGTGTACCAAGGGGATGTTTAGTACAGTGAAATAAACATATAGTGTACAATGAAATATACAGTGCTAGAGTACAGTGAAATAAACATAGAGTATAAAATACACTAGTCAGTGTTGCCACCAAGTGAGGGATGATATCTGAAACAAACTAGTCTGACATAAGGTTAGACGGAATATTTGACATCGGAATATATTAGATGCCAGAATATTTGACGTACATCAGTGGTTTACGTTAAAAGCATATGCAGCATTTTCTTATGCTGAACATAACACAGCATTAAAATAATTTATTAATTAGCAAGTCATACTCATAAAAACCAAGGTTTTTAAAAAAAAATTCACTATGTTCCAGGTATAAAAAACATTGACAAGGAACTGAAACTATCATCTCCCCATCTTATATTGTAAAAAATCATATTTTATACAAGATGATTTGTTCTGCACTTCAAAAGTATTTATACAGCATTTTTAGACCATGGCGTGCTCAAGAATAAAATCAAAGACAATAAGCTTCTTTTCCCCACCGCTTTGGCATCCAGACTCCGACACAGTCATCTCCACCTCCACTCACTAGCACACCATTCTTGTAATCTATCTGAAATATAATAATAATAATAATAAAGTTCATTTCAAAAACACACTTCATCCCCAAAGGCTCGAAGCGCGGTACAAAGTAAACAAAAAACATATCTATAATTAACCACATATAAAACAAACGCAACACTACAAAAACTAACTACAAGCATACAATCTCAAAGTCTTTCTAGCCATTTCAACCCGGAGCAACACAGCCATTATGCATTAACTGGAAAATAAGGTAGACAATCATCCCAGAAGGTATTTGCGAAATAGATGTGTCTTTAGATCGGTTTTAAAGGACTCCAGTGTCTGGTTGTTTCTGAGATCGACTGGAAGGGCGTTCCAAATTGTTGGACCAGCAAATGCGAAAGTGCGCTTTCCGTAAGTCTCAAGGCAAACACGTGGTGTCGAGAGTTTGCCACTATCGGATGAGCAGAGCTCTCTAGTGGGTACATAAGGCGTCAGCAGCTCTTTCAGATAGGACGGCGCCAGGTCATGTAAGCAGCGGTAGCACAAAGTTGCGATTTTGTACTCTATGCGAGCACGCACCGGCAGCCAATGCAACTCTCTCAGTAGCAGCTCTTTCAGATAGGACGGCGCCAGGTCATGTAAGCAGCGGTAGCACAAAGTTGCGATTTTGTACTCTATGCGAGCACGCACCGGCAGCCAATGCAACTCTCTCAGAAGTGTTTTTGCATGGTCGAATTTGCGTTTGCGGAGAACTATGTAGAAATAATGACTCTGATATAGTTCTTATATGCTACTTGGTTAATTCCACGATATTGTTCATATATTTTACTTGGTTAAGCCCATGATATAGTTCTTATATATTACTTGGTTAAGCCCATGGTATAGTTATTATATTATGTTACTTGGTTAAGCCCATCCATTTCTCAGAGACCAATTGGATTTAAAACAATTTTTAAAAAAACCCAGATATTTTATTATTTTGCTCCACAACATAAACTTAAGACTTAATGCATGCAATTTCAATATTATTTGGGTACACGAGGCCTAAGAATCAATGACTAAAAGAAAAGGGATGAACACTCACTTTAGCTATTTCTCTCTCATGGACGTTCAGTGATGTGATCACCCCTGGATCTCGTGTTGGTTCCAGCACTTTGACAGTTTTATCACCAGAGCATGTGAATATTGCCCCTGGAGTGTTTATCACAGCCGTTACTTTCTTGGTGTGCCCCACATCAAAGGACTGCGGGATTGAATTTAAAACTTATACGCATTTTGTAAAATTGTCTACTTCACACGTTAAATTGTGTATAAACTTAATTTAAAAAATACATTTTAAAGTTTTTTTTTATGAATTTTAAATCATATGTTTTAATATCTAATTTTAAGCTAATTTTATTAATATTTCTGTGGTCCATTGTTAGCATGTTTGATAAAATAAAATGAATTGAGGCAAATAACAGCAACTGATTAGAAGATGTCAATTTCAAATCTAGTTTATTGACTAATGACTTAAAGATGAATGAATTGGCTACAACATTTAGATTTGTGTTTTAAGTGAATCTATAAAAATTAATGATGATATGAGCACTTGAAAGCAAGACATTTTGTGGATTTTTTTTCCGCGAGAACTCCAAGGTCAAAGACACTGAGCAAAATTTTTTTATGGGGTGGGCAATATGGTCAACTTTATCCCCATCCATTTACCTTTCTAGAGACATATACTTATAGGGGTCTCGTATCAATATTTCTATGTCATTTAATGCAATTTCAAATGGCACTCAAAATGCTCTGAAAAGCTCCACACCCCAGAATGATGCATGCCACAGTTCGTGGGTTAATATTCTAATGTCTCACCGGCTTTTACACCACAAATTTATTTCACCATTTTTTTTCAGAAAAACAAAATATTACGCACCAAAAACAGATGGGATATTTTTTAAAAAAGAATCTCATTTAGCATAGTTGTCTGAACATTTATTTCATGAAATAAATGTCACCACATTTTATTCATCTTCCCCTTGACAAACAGGAAACACTGTTTTTGAGGGGTTGGGGCCGAAAATTTGAAAGATTGTGATGTCATTGGCAATGAGTTTATGTGCCAAGTTGCAGCTGGATAGGTTGATGGGAAGTGGGTCAATTAGCCATCTGAAGATTTTGCCGTAATACCCATAAAGTGAAGTTAATATTAAGGATTTTTAAAAAAAGCTTCATTCTTACCCCAACATATTGAAAGACTCCCTCTGTGCCATCATTCTTACCCAAACATATTGAAAGACTCCCTCTGTGCCATCATTCTTACCCCAACATATTGAAAGACTCCCTCTGTGCCATCATTTTTACCCCAACATATTGAAAGACTCCCTCCGTGCCATCATTCTTACCCCAACATATTGAAAGACTCCCTCTGTGCCATCATTCTTACCCCAACATATTGGAAGACTCCCTCTGTGCCATCATTCTTACCCCAACATATTGAAAGACCCCCTCTGTGCCATCATTCTTACCCCAACATATTGAAAGACTCCCTCTGTGCCATCATTCTTACCCCAACATATTGAAAGACTCCCTCTGTGCCATTATTCTTACCCCAACATATTGAAAGACCCCCTCTGTGCCATCATTCTTACCCCAACATAATGAAAGACTCCCTCTGTGCCATCATTCTTACCCCAACATATTGAAAGACTCCCTCTGTGCCATCATTCTTACCCCAACATATTGGAAGACCCCCTCCGTGCCATCATTCTTACCCCAACATATTGGAAGACTCCCTCTGTGCCGTCATGTAAGTTCAGATTTCCACTATTGTCACCAAACCACAACTGGTTGCAGCTGTAACTCAAACAAAGGGGATAGCTGGCCAGCTATTGGAAAAGAAATTAAAATTATGCGGTTAATGGAAAATAGCTTGCTTAACGTTAATGAAGGTCACTCATAATACCATAAAAGTTAAAAAGTCTTGGTTTGACTTTCTACAGAGAAGGTGCATGGTAAAGCCTCAGTATCGAGAACTTCAAAGAAAAAAATTGTTTATCAAAGGAGTTAAGGCACAAAAATATTTTATATAAGAATTTAAGACAAAAAGATATTGTATGAAAAGATTTAAGGCACAAAAATAGTTTATAAAAGGAGTTAAGGCAAAAAAAAAAATAGTTAACAAAAGGATGATATGGGTGATGGTAAACTATAATATGAAGTTAACTACAAGACTTGTGTGACCTTCTTTTTCGGAGGAACAATACTAATTCTATATTATTCATAGCTATTGTACTTTAATATTTGAAAATCTGACCGTGAAAATATGGAGCACATCAACTAATTGAAGATATGAAGCACATCAACTAATTGATGATATGAAGCACATCAACTAATTGAAAATATGAAGCACAACAACTAATTGATGATATGAAGCACATCAACTAATTAATGATATGAAGCACAACAACTAATTGAAGATATGAAGCACATCAACTAATTGATGATATGAAGCACATCAACTAATTGAAAATATGAAGCACAACAACTAATTGATGATATGAAGCACATCAACTAATTGAAAATATGAAGCACAACAACTAATTGATGATATGAAGCACATCAACTAATTGAAGATATAAAGCACATCAACTAATTGATGATATGAAGCACATCAACTAATTGAAGATATGAAGCAGATCAACTAAATGAAAATATGAAACCACAACTAATTGAAGATAGTTATAAATGATCTCAACTATTTAAACAAATATTTCTTTACTGTTGACAGCATACCTTGAACATCATAAATATTTTGCCAGCTCTGCGGTCAAAGATGGAAATGGACTTGTCCTCACTACCTGAAAGAATAAAGTTCTCATTGCCCGTGACACAGAGCACAGCCCTGGTGTGGAAAACTCTTGACTTGACACTTGACGTGCGCTGGTCAATGAAGTAAACTTTCTTGTCATAACAACTGGCTACAACTTCATTGTCTTCTGCATACAAGGACAGGACAGGAGACTTACATCTGCAAAGAATATATCATGACGAGAATGGAACATTGAATTTAACAACCCTTAAAAAAGGAGTTTTTTAAAAAATAAATCCTTTATAAAATGTAATACCAAGCAATTGGGGGCTGGGGCTGAAAATGTAACAGATGCATACAAGTAATGAACTTTATAACAATACCAACAAGTGCCCTCCCCCAGACTCACAAACCCACATCTTTTTCACAAACTATATTAGGATTCTAATGACTCGCCCAATTTTACATCGCAGATTTATTTCAAGATTTCAGAAAAACACAAGAAAATATTACGCACCAACGATATTAAAAAAAAAACTAATCTCATTCAGCACAGTTATCAGGAATTATATTTCGTAAAAGCAGTGTCACCATATTTCCTTCATTTTCCCCTTGAAAAATAGGAAAAACTGATTTTTGGGGGTTGGGGCTGAAAATTTGATCTAATGTTTTGTCATCAGGTACGAGTCCAAGTGTAAAGTTTCGGCTCGATATGTTTACAGGAAGTGGGTCAATTAGCCATCCAAATGTTTAGCTCTAAAAACACAAAAGCAAAGTTAATATAAAGGATTTAATTAAAAAATGTTAAAAATCTTTCATATTATGAGACGGTTCACTTGAGGCACAATGGAGGTCATGATAGTAATAAAATTCAAAGTTGTGTCAATCTTGGTAAACTTTCTTTATCCAGGTTGTAGAACTCTCATATCAAACTAATAGCCACATGCATTAAATATTAATTCTCGTTTCCATAGCAATAATAAGATGACCCTGGTAACAATGAACGATGAATTTTTCTGAAGTAATGAGCTTTCTTATCTAGAGTTCAAGGGTTAAACTAAATTATAATACAAGAATTTCATTTACAAGGAATATCACGGGTAAACAGTATGCTGCTGGAAAACTGGCAGCTTACTTAGAGTGAATAGTAGCAGCTGTGAAAACTATGACAAAAAGATGAGACATAGTTAGCACCTTACTTGAAAGAATTTGTTAATTTACACCCAGCATTGGCATCAAACATTCTGATATGTGTGTCCCATGAACCTGTGATGACCTTATTACCAACCGATGTTATACACCAGATCCAGCCCTGAAAAAGGTTGTAAGCTTTAAGGACAATTATACTGAACATTTATTGCTTATTCTGTGGTTAATTTGCTGTTGCATCTTACATTTATAACAGTGGAACAGTTTATAAATTGATTACATGTGTACAATATGCACTCCCACTTCAGTCACTAGTAAAGGGATATAAAGCTTTAGTATTATACTCAAGATTTTACAGTACTAAATAAACTGGCTTTAGGGGATTGGCTAATAATTATTAGGCCCAGGCCTCCGGAGTAAATTTCTTTTCCTGTAGACCAGTGGTTCTCAACCTTCCCAATGCTGCGACACTTTAATACAATTCCTCATGTTGTGATGACCTCCAACCATATAATTATTTTCGTTGTTACTTCATAACTGTAGAGTACATGTGTTTTCCGATGGTCGTAGGCGACCCCTGTGAAAGGGACGTTTAACAACTGCTGCTGCAGACAGACATTCACAGTAATAGATGCTATGAAATTTAGAAGGTTTTGACTTGAATCTTAACTTATTGATAGATTTATTTACACTAAAGTCTGGGATTTGAAGTGGAGTAAGATAGAAAAAACAGAACAGCGTAACCAAGATTTACTTACATCAAACCTCATGAGATTTATTGGAGTGTAGAGTAACCAAGATCTAGTCAAAACTAACCTCATGAGATTTGTTGGAGTGTAGAGTAACCAAGATCTAGTCAAAACTAACCTCATGAGATTTGTTGGAGTGTAGAGTAACCAAGATCTAGTCAAAACTAACCTCATGAGATTTGTTGGAGTGTAGAGTAACCAAGATCTAGTCAAAACTAACCTCATGTGATTTGTTGGAGTGTAGAGTAACCAAGATCTACTCAAAACTAACCTCATGAGATTTGTTGGAGTGTAGAGTAACCAAGATCTAGTCAAAACTAACCTCATGAGATTTGTCAGAGTGTATCAACATTTCCCTCATTTGTTCCTCACTGGCACCTGAACCAGGGTATTTAGTCAGATCAATAAAATTTAAGCTCCTATTACGATCACCAGACAAGACCATCTCACCATCCTGGAAATATAATAATTACACAATTTGATAAATAAATTTAATGTTACCAAACATTTGGTCTGGAAATTGTTTCTCTGCCAAGCAGAGTACTTTAGTTAACTCACAATATTTTTTTGAATAATCAATCTTTGACCACAATTTTTAATAATTTTTGCCTACTATGCATCAAGTTCAACTCTCAGATCATTGGAAATTGGAGATTATACATTAAAACTATCACAAGATAATAATATTATGAAACTATTCATAACGCAAGACTCACTTTCATAAGATGTACAGAATCAATTGCACCAAAAACATCACAGGAATACATAAAGTGATTTGTAAAAGTCTCAGGATCTGACCACACTCTTTGCATATCGTCCAGTTCCACACAAGCATCATCCCATTTAAAATTTGGGGGGGCTGTAACAGGTATTATAAATATATCAGTAAGGTTTTTGTTTTTTTTAAATAAAAAAAATAAGATCCATTTATTTTTACTTATAATAATAATCTAGTACTTGTATAGTAAAAATAGTGTGAACTTCATTGTATTGGAATTTTGTGAAACAGGTTACACAATGAGGTTTATATGATAAACAATATAAGCTTATTGGTGCATTCAAAGGCTTATAATAATTAAAAGGACATATTCAAAAAGCTATTTTTAGTTATCCTCAGACCTTCTATAAAATTTTTAATGCTTCAGTGATGAGCTGTGATACGGCCTACTTGTAAGTTTTTCAAATATAAAATATAATAATATAGATGTAAGGCATTTATTAATATCCGATTAACCAGTTTTAATCTATAGGAACAATATAGGCAAAGCTTATCAAATTCTTCTCATAAAAAATTACTAGGTAATTTTTCCAAATTCATTTTTGTGTTGTGTCCAATTTTAAAGTAAAATATAAATTGTATTCACTAATCACCACTAAGAAACTCACTTGTAACAGCAGGGTATTTCTTGTTTGGCCATCTATTTGTAACCCTGAATTTCCAATAGGATTCAGAGCTAAATATCAAGAGGAACCTACGACACACTTGACTTAAAGCATACTTCACAGTCCTCGCATCTACAAATGCAGCAATGCAGATGAGGGAATCGTCATCCAGCTGGTCTAGTGTCAGGGGAGATGAATAATCTGAAAAAAAAAATAATTTTAAAACATCATCTATAACAGCGATGTTTGAAATATGAAACTACTTTTCTCGCATACAAATTAATTATTTCATTAGGGAGGAGAAAGAACTCGTAATCAATTCTACTTTGTCAGTCATTATTACAACCTAAATTCTCCACTGAGGCATTTTAGAACCAAAATTTTACTCTCCCATCCATAATTCAGCAATGCAAAATGCCAGGCAGAGTTAAATTTTGGTTCTAAAATGCCTCAGTGGAGAATTTACTACTGAAATATTACATTCACTATAAGGGACCGAGCTATTGCTCTTTAACGGCCCCGGCAATTATGGAACAGGCCTGCCTCATCTGCTGGGCAGTCCCGTAAATCAGGCTTTCGACGTGGTTGGCTGAGAGCACCCCAGTCACTAATGTCGAGCTCTTGGCTAGAAGGTGCTCTACTGTCTCCGGCGCCTGTCCACAGTGCTTGTACAGAGAGCCAATGAAGTGAATGAAGTAGTGGTGTGACGTGATCACGTTTTTTGTTCCTTCAGAACTAGCCTCGCAGCTGAGTTTTGAACCTTTTGTAATTTTTCTAATAAGTGTTTTGGTGAACCTGATAGCAGAGAGTTACAATAGTCAAGATGAGAGAGAACTAGAGCACAGACTAGGGTTTTTGTTGCACTAACTGTGAGGTATTGGTGGATGGAGCTGATCTGATGAATAGCGGCGTATGCAAATGTGAGAGATATGATTATCGAGAGACATGTTGTTAGACACAATATAAACAAGATTCCTAGCGGAGAATGTAAACTGTGTATCGGAGTTACATACATGAAACAAAGTGGGGAGAGCTGAGCTAGAGGATTATTTGTGATCGTGAATTAGTAAACATTATAACTAATAGTATCGGATTCATGTTTTTGGTATCCTATGGCTCACATAATGATATATTAATTGCAGCTATTCTGTAAGGGTTGGATAGATTTGCAATTTTCCTACTAAAATAAGTCTTTCCAGGTCAAATAAAATAAATGTTGCTTCAATTATCAATCAATGTACCATATCAATATCAATCAATGAACATTGCACACAGTATTTGAATGAAATTAGTTTAAAATATCTTTTAAATGAAAAGAAAAAATTAATTGCATGGAATTAACAATTCTTATTACCATTATTGATAGATGTTTCAAGGTCAATCTCAGCTTCTGTAGTGTTAGTCACATTTGCTTGAAGTTCAAGTGCTGAGGTTCCCGATGGTATCTCTCCTGAGTCTGTTCCAATGTTTTCAGATGGCAAATTTGAACCCGTACTTTTAGTTAGGATGGGGCAACGGCCTGAATCAGCTAATTTATCAATTTCCATATCAGGGATCGCACAATGTCCTGGCAAATTATATATTAATGCATTTCATTTCACATAGTGGAAGTCACTGAATTAAAGAAGTAGCCATAGGTAAGGGCACAATTTAAAATATGTTTCCTATCTAGTTATTCTGTTTCAGTAATTAGCTATTTTGTACAAAAAGAAATTAAAAAATAATTTACATAAAAAAAGGGAATTTATTAAAATGGATTAAAAGGAAATTGTTAGAAAAACTTATTATTATAAAATATTATATTATAAATTTGAAAAACAAAATGTCAGTCAGTGTAATTCTCTAGTCTAGACTAGAGACTAGATTGGCTGGAGAAGTTGTAAAATAATAATTAATTTTTGTAGACTCCCAAGCCCAAGGAAAATTATAAAGAAAACAATAATCGCTAAACATAATATGGCTATATCAGGTTAGGGCAGGGGCAATCAAAAGAATTAAAATATGCACTTTGTGGGGTCACCATTTGTAAATTGTAATGGCTATGGTGTGTTGTTATGTCATGTGTTTTGAGGGTGTTAAAACTATTAAAATTAACAAAGTGTCTACACGTCCGTTAGCCGGACAAATAGTTCAGGAGATATACAATATACGTCCGCAGGCATGTCACGTGACCGTCGGACGACTGGTAGGCGTTATTATTCCGGCAGGTCATAAAACAAGTGGTCGCCGGCAAAATAGGGGCATTGGCATTGCATTTGATATTTCGATCCCTCCTAGATAATAAATAAATGCTGAACATGTTAATATATTCAAATGCTCTGAGATACATTAAGTGTTTGACTTTGAATATTAAACTAGTTGGGCTATATACTAACTACATGTAACATGTAGTAGTAAGGCCTACTATTACTACTACTAACTACTATTAGTATTACTAGTCTATTTGATTCCGACTCTTCAAAGAAAAAAGTCCCTCATCTTGGTTGAACATCTTGTAAAGCTCTACCTTGAAGTTGAAGCCTCAGTTTAAAATATGAACAAAATAAAATAAGACCAGTAGACTTCAATAGACCAATGTCTATGACAATAAAGTTGTATTTTAGGATTAGTATTGCATGAGAAGTAGGCTAGGCTACTACTATATCGGCCTTATATTAAAATGTAGGGTGTATTTCTTTGTAAACTACTGGCCTCCCCGCCTTAAACTTTATTATTTATCACCCTCAGTATTATTCTTTTAGCATTCGTATTTTTTTATTACCATAATTCTCTCTCCCTATTAGGATTGCTTCCTTCTAGAATGCATTATTGCTTAACCTCCACTTTGTTTTGGTAATATCCCCAAGTGTTTTTTTTCTTTCTATTATTCGTTTGCAAGATGCTCAGTAAATTACTTGTTGGAGAAACAGATTTTAAAATGAACAATAGTTTTGAATTATTCGCATTCATGTGACAAGGCTGAGCCTGACGGACAAATATCTCGAGCCACTTTGATACGGTGGTCATGTGACTTGGTCGCAGGACGAATATCTCGATAAAGTATTCTTCCGGCGGTCATGTGACTTGGTCGCCGGACAGATAGTGCGGGAGATATACGTCCGGCGCGCCGGATGTGTAGACACTGCCTAAAATTAAAAGTTTAAATTTTGTGACACTATTTGATATAAATTAAATCACGATTGATTTGATATAAACCAAGACATATTATTTGTACTATAATACAATATACATACTATAATAAACGATAATAAGTTTTATGCAACTTTACACGCTTTTAACTATACTATAACTTACTATATTTTATACTTCAACTACTAGTGGATGAATGATTCATGTCAATTTTTTGTTTGAACATTTAAGCATTTTAAAGCCCAAGCCATAACCCCATCATTTGTTGCAAACTTAAAACTTTCCTGAAAGTTTACTTACCGCCACTCGACATAGGATAAGTTACTATACGGGAAAGGGATTAAGATAAAATTAGAAAATTATTCATATGTCTACTTCCATGGTTCTCAAATTCAAGTGAGTCATTCTCATTCTGAAGACTGCCCTAATGCATCTTCCGAAAGCAAGTATGTAAACACTACATTTCGGTAATGATTTTGTGATTGGTTGAAATCTTCAAGGTACAGCGAATCAAAAGGTTTGTTTAATTTCCAAATTAAAAATAAGAAATAAGTTTAGAACACAGCCACGGTTACAGTTCAATTATTCAATGTGTGATTAGTATATTACAACTACAATTCTTATTTTAGCGTATTCAATTTTGAATTTAAAAAAAATTCTCAATAACTTATTCTATCTGTTAAGGTCTGGGTGGTATTAGAATTGTAGAGAATCAGCGGCGTATGAAGGAGGTGCAGAGGGGGTGGTCATAATCTTTGTTTTGCTTTAGGCCTATAAATATGGCATATGGCCAGGAGGAGCAGCAATATTTTTGACCAACTGTAAAAATGTTCTCGTGGTAGGGTGGTGCAAATATATATATATATATATACATACAATTTCCCCGGGGAAAGCCAAGTACCCCCTCCCCCGAGCAAAAATATGTCCAACAATAAATAAACTGGAACTGCTGTCACTGCCCCCCCCCCCCCCCCCCCACCCCCCCCC